CATGTTGACACAATACTTCATTGCATGTTACACTCATCACAAGTCATAATTCACAAATTAAACACATAATTTACATCATGTGGTAATTAACATATAATTATCCATAGCAGGGTTCCTTCGGTTACCTCAAGCCTTTAAGAGGTTAAAGGTTTATCTCTCAATGTTATAGCTTCCAAACTTAAATTTTCAAGCCAAATTGGTGTCTAAAAGCTTAATCTATAATTTACCAAGTTAATCCCCATTAACATTATCAACCAAATGCATTCAACTCTTATTTTTCTACTTTTAAGTTGCCCAATGCCCCTTTTGTATGAGTTTAGGCATACACATTAGATTTATTAACTCTCTCTAGTCCCCATTAACAATAATGAGCCATTAAACTCTCATTAATAGCATTACCCTCATCCAACAACCCTCACTAATGTCATTTTCACATAATAATAGGACCTAATCACCAAAAGTGTTAAAACTCAATATACTTAGGTTTAGATAATATAATCTACTCCCATTAACTCATTTGAGTCAATGGATTTGGATCCATAACCTATATGGATTGAAAAGCATTTTCACTATCAAAACCCTAACCATAAACTCATAAATGTAGAAGAGATAGGGAGGAATAGAGTTTAAGGTACTTACCTTTAGTGTTTAGTAGCTTCAAAATGTCCTAAATATCCTCCAATGATGAACCTTAGTTGAGTTTTCCACTAGTTATTCATTTCCTCTTTCCTTCTTTCTATTTTCTACCTCAATTTACGACTGATAAACTACAAAAAATGGCCATGCATCGCAATAGATGCTACATGTGCCATGGCACATAACACAGAGAGGTCCCCTTTTCGCATTAGTTGTGCCTGTGTGCTGCGGTGGACATGTTTCATGCCATGATATATGGCACAACAACACTTTATCTTTGTTTTCTTTTCCTTTCGATGCCTGGGTGGCCCGACTTCATGCCAAACCCATAATTAGGGCTAAAAACACAATCAAAACTAGTCATTAGACCTCCCTGGCCATACACCACTACAATTCTCTTAATTACCATAATTAAGCTTAGTAAATTAAGGATTAAAATCTAGGATGTTACACATGGCACAGAGCGTGATGCTAGTATTTCTATGCCACATGCCATGGTGCATGTGGCACAAGCTGCAGTACATGGTTCATAATTTGTGAAAATTTTAGTGAATTGAGTTAGTATTCTTTATCTATTCCTGATTGGTTCTGTTGTGTATTGTTTTATATATCTTAAATCATATTTATGAAGTAATTTCTAAAGTTTTACATTAGGATCCCAAACTTTCAAAGTAAACGATTTTGAATTGATTAGTAGATTATGTGAAAGATTGAACAATAATGCCAGTAAGGACATTACGCCACAACTACACATACTTAACAGCAAAACTAGGAAGAAGAAGAAGAGCAACATCACAAGGGAAAGGGGAATGACTAATAGATCGAACATTTAGCACTTATGAACTAACTCTCACAACACAAAATAGAAGGATATGCTACACAACTCTAATAGAGGAGAAGAAAGAATAGTCGGTGGTGCAAAGCAGGGGAAAGATTGATGCATATAGAGAAGGAAGAATAGAGAATCTAGTGACCTAACTTCATTGTAGCAGACAAACATGGATAGAGAGAAGAGTAGCGGATGAATTGATGGCAACAGGAGGAGGAAAGTGTGACAGGGAAGAGGTGAAGTGTAGTGAAGAACAATCATGATTTTTGTCCCTTTATGCTCTGAGAAGTCGACCCAAGGGAAGAGAAGAGGAAAAAAAAAATATAAAGTTTGTGGAGAAAATTACAAAAAAAGACCCCATTAGATTTTATCATCATTATCATCATAAGAGGGCGAGGGCACATTTAGTAATTTCTCCCAATAAGAGAAAATAAAACAAACCATAAAATTTGAATTTTAAACCTCCATATGAGTAACCAGTATAAATTTCACTAAGCCACTACTCCTCATTTGTTATACGACTAAAAAAATTAAAAAAAATATTAATTGGAAGAAAAATTATTTAATTTAAAATTTAAGGCCATTACATTATTATTATATTTTATTCCCCTTTTTAAAAAAAAATTCTAAATTTTTTGATTACTACAATATAGAACCAATTCATGATATTTATAAAATTGTAAAAAATAAGATTAAGTGTGATTAAAGAAATTATGTAAATTATTTTTCACTTAAGAGATTATTATTATTTAAATATTATGAATATTTAATTTGAACAAAATACCTAAGCTCAATCCATTTAATTTCTAGAGAGTCTACTCTAGGGAAAAAAGTATTAGATGAAATTAAACAAAACAAGAAGAGAATGATAAATGAGTTTTTGAAAAGAAAGGGGTGGGAGAAAGAGAGATTGAGATTGAAATATATATAGGGGGAATGGTATTAAGGGCCTTAAAAACAAAATTTATTGTACTTAGGGCCTAAGTCAATCTGAAATTGCTCTACAGGTCTTAAGGCTCCAATCTTAAAAACAATTCAAGATATTTTTTTAGAGCAAAAAATACTATTTTACCCTTTGTTTGATTTGAATTTAGAACTTGCACAAACCCTCAAAGTAATGGAATAAATCATGCACAAAACAACATTTACTATACATAAGACAATGTCTACACATGCTTAATAGAAAGTCTATGCATTTTTAGTATTTAACTAATCTAGGCTCTAACAAAAATAACTAGGTAGACCATGCACAACACAATATCCACTATGCACCAGACTATGTTCACGCATGCTTAATAGAAAGTCTATGCATTTTAAATATTTCACTAGCCTAGGCTCAATAAAATGACTAATTAGGTAGACCATGCACAACACAACATTCACTATGCACAAGATAATGTCCACACATGTTTAACAAAAAGTCTATGCATTTTGAGTATTTCACTAGCCTAGGCTCTAACAAAAATGGCTAGGCAGACCATGCACAACACAACATCCACAATGCACCAGACTATGTTCATACATGCTCAATAAAAAATCCATGCATTTTGAATATTTTATTAACCTAGGCTCAGTAAAATGACTAGTTAGGTAGGGCATGCATAACACAACATCCACTATGCACAAGACGATGTCCACGCATGCTTAACAAAAAGTCTATGCATTTTTAGTATTTCATAAGCCAAGGCTTAACAGAAATGACAAATTAGGCAGATCATGCATGACACAATATTCGTTATGTACAAGACGATGTACACGCATACTCAACAAAAAATCCATACATTTTCAATATTAAGAAGGATAATTACATCATATATGTAGAATTTCATGTTGATAGTAGCCTAGGTACTAAAACAAGTACCCACATGAAGTTTGACATGATATGTTAAGTCTAATATATATAAAAAGCTAGCCACTATATTCAAAACATCTAATAGTTGCTTCTCTATATATATAAAAAAATATTTGTGATTCCAAATTATCCAAAAATATTACTTGGGAATGCTTTCATATACATAATTATAGTTGCCTATATACATCAAAAGGAATAATGTGACTACTTCTCATGTTGGGTTAGGATTCTTGCATATCTTGCCATTGTGTCCAGCCTCCCTAGATCTTGAACAATGATAAATCTTCTTTTATTTTAATCTGCAATGAACAAATTAATCTAGATAAATGTCCACATATAGAAGCCCAACTTTTATTTTACACAACTCAAAGTTCATTTTTGAACAGCAAATATTTCAACATCTTTGACAGCATATTTTCTTCACATTGGGGGTCATATTTTGTTCAATTCACATATCAAAGTCCAATATGAACAAGTAAACTATCACTATTGTACAATAATTAATTCACTCTAAAACTTTCACAACCAATTTAATAGTTTAGCAACCTTTAGCTTTTATCAGTGGGTTAGGTTTTTACAAAATGCACAAGTAGGCAAACAATGTATAACAATACCCTCTATGCACAACATAAGGTTCATATATTCTCAATTAAAAATCCATACGATTCTACTTTATTAGAAGGCTAAACTTAATAAAATGTTCAAGTTAGGCAAATAGTACACAATACAACATTTACTATGCACAACACAAGGTTCATATATTCTCACTTGAAAGTCATGTGATTTTAATTTTTCATTAGGCTATACTTAATAAAATGCACAATAGCTCAAAGTTCATTTTTGCACAACAAATGCTCCAACATTTTTGATAGGAGATTTTCTTCATACTGGATCATATTTTATTAAGTTCATATGTAAAAGTCTAATATGAACAAGTCAACTATCATTATTATACAACAACTAATCCACTCTAAAATTTTCATGGCTAAAATGGTTTAGCAACTTTTTGCTCAGATCAACAGTAGAATCACAAAATAAACAAGTAAACTTGCAAGCTTAAACATTTGTGCTTCACACGAGAGACCTATTACAACTTCAACAACTAAAAGACACACATGCACTGAATCAATGAGGGAGAAACAAAATTGAAGATCCTTACCTCTAAACAATAATGATAGAAATAGATGACGTCGCTTGAATAAGTAAGACGAAGAAGATCAACAATGGCTAGCGATACGCAACGAAAGAGAGGAAAAATCATAAACTGTGTTTCATCTATCAACACCCATGACTTCTACACTCATCTACGCCGGCAACGATCAACAATGATAGTGCAATGACTGGTGAAATGAGAAAAAAGACAAGAAAAACAGTGAATTATGCTTCATTTGTTTTGTTTTTTTGAGGGTTTGTGCATCATTTTTAGTTCAAATCAAACAAAGAGTAAAATAGTATTTTTGCTCTGAAAAAATATTGCAATTGGGCCTTAAAGCCTGCAGAATAATTTTAAATTAATTTAGACTCTAAATATAATAAATTTTATTTTTAAGACTTTTAATGCCATTCTTCCATACATATATATTGTGTGGGTGTGTAAGGGGTGCCCTTACAGGTCATTTTGCCACCCAATATATTAAAATAATAACGAGCCAGCCTGTGTTTGTTTTAAGCGGGTGGGACTGATTAGAGGTTATCATCCTCGACCTGCCTGTGGAAGCCTCGTCATAGGTGGACGAGTAACTGGGCAAGACTGAAAAAAAAAAAAAAAAAAAGCCTCTCTCTTGCTCGGCGCTCGCTCATGCTCTCATCTGAGTCTCTCGGCCGCTGCCTCTGAGTCATCTCACTCTCAGAGAACCTCAGTCTTAAACTCTTATCGTCGCCGCCATCAATCCCTCATCGTTGAGCTCTCCTGAATTCATGCCATCGCGTTGCGCCGTACCCTCTCCTCCTCTCGCCTGGTCTGTCTCATACTCATGGTGTCGCACACGCACTCCCCGGCAGATCTGAACTCACTGTGACCAAAACTCAGTCAGACCAGGTAAGTTAACTGATTCTGATTCTGACCAAAGCCCCATTAGAAATAAGTTAACTGATTCGTCTCTACTGTTATACTTTTATCTCTACTTATTGTGTTCTTGTTTTGTTTTCCCTTAATCTCTCTTGATTTGTAGATAAGTTAGAATCACTGAATGGAGGAAAATAGTTTGTGGATTCAATCTTCAAACCTTCTAAAATCCTTTTTTCGGTTATGTCTTTCTGCATTATAGTTAGACTAATTAACCTTGTCACCTGGTTACCTTGATAGATCGGAATTATATTATTGAAACATTCTATATAGTTTTCTCCGGTACTCGGTAAATATTACCAGAGATATTCTCTAATTCCTATGAGATGCAAGATATGGATGATATATTACTGGACAGATGGTGTTCTCTGTAGCTTTTCAAGATTTTTATGATTTTTAAATTTTAACAATGTATATCATGCCAATCTTCTTCTTCAATACAAGCTAATACAATAACATAAGGAATTTGTTTACGTAAATAGAATTATGGAGCTGTACTGTTTGGTGATGCAAGCAATTTAATGCTAGGTGCTGGAGGCTGCAACTGCATTTCTAGAATAACAATAGAAACATTCACTTCTCTTTTGGTTTTACATGGCATTTGAAGCATGTAGGGGAAGCACAGTTACGTTAAAGCAACTTGGTCATTGGATTAGCTGGTCCATGTTGATATTGTGAATTGATTTTTAATGTGGAGTGTAGAACAATTTTTACTATTCAAGCTCTTTTTTTTTCTTTTTCTTTTTTCCTTTTTAGATTCAAAGTTGATGCATTTGATCCTTTTCAATATCTATCACTTCTTTGATGATTTCTGCTATTAGCAATTAGTATCTACTTTCATAATTTTGCATCCATTCCCTGCAGGTCGTTGAAGGATAATTAATATAATATACCCTTAATGGCAATTTTTTAGGTAAGTAAATTTTGTTTATATCTTACTGCTTACAAGCTTTGCAGGTATAGGTATTATTTTTCTTGGGACAAATTTTAAGTGCAATTTATTAATACTGATATTTTTTTCAGCTCAATGTTGTATGATTGATGTTTTTAGGGGTTTGTTGATAATTTTAAATTTTTGATTGTCTTCAATGGATCTTCTAGGTTCATGAATTGTGTGATACCTGTATTAATGCTCTTTTCTTCCATAATCTTTCTTCTCTCTCATTTATCTCTTAATGCTGCATATCAGTACCTTCTGTAGATCTACATGATTCAGATTGTCCAATAGTGGAGTCTTGACTTGTCATTATGTTGATAAATACAAATGATTTCACTGCTTCCTTTATTTCATGTAATCAAGTACACAAGTAGCCACTATGATTTAATGAGAGAGCACTGACTATTTAGCCGAAGCCTAGCCTAGCCTAGCCTATTTCTTTCCCTACTTTAAATAATGCTTAATAGGATATGATAGAAATGAGATATGATATGTGTGATGATAGTATACACTTGAGGGGAAAATATAAAAGAAGGACCTTGGGAAACAATGACTCAGGAGATGTGTTTGCATTTGACCATACTGATGTTTCTCAAGTGAAAAAGCAGGTAATAATAGGAAGCCAATGGTATTTTTCCACATCTATGTAAGAGAAAATCAATTGGAGTTCATCAGTAAAATCTAGCAGAGATGGATTTGAGGTCTTGCTGCATGACATAAGCTAGAATTCTTGAGTTTCATATAATTTCATCCATTGTAATCTTTATTTAGCATCACTATACTGCTCCATGAAACATTGATCATTACTTAACTTATCCTCTCATTTGTGCAACAACAACAACAACAAGCCTTATCTCACTAGATGGGGTTGACTGCATGAATTATATGATGCCATTGTGTTCTATTATTTATTAAGTTTTTAGGAATATTATTAAATAAAAGGTCTCACTTAACAACATCCTCTCATTTGTGCAGTTTGTTTGATTTAAATAATGCCTCATCCATTCAGGTTACTAGATATAAAGTTGTGATATTTTTGGCACTTAATGTTGGAGGATATCTTTATGTTTGACAAATTGGTGAACATCTATATGAGCAATTGAAGCAGAACAAAGATGAGTGAAACATCTTAATTATCACTTAGCAATTAGAAGTTTTGGTCCCTGCTGATTCCTCAACGTCAAATGTAGGAAGTGAAATGAGGAGTAGATATTGGCTCTTTAGTTATTTTAAAAGTTTTTCTATGTTATAGAATGGAAGAAGATGAATTATTTTCCTGGATCTAGTATTCGGTGATGAATTCTTTCATTGTGTAAGAGCCATTTGAATAGGAAATCATATTGTTGACTTGATCGGTGCTGTTGTCATTTGAGAGTACTGTTAGATTGTTATGGTAATATTGTATTGTTCAATTTTCATTATTGGCACTACTTTTTTTCTGCTCTGATTTATAGACTACCGTCAATGGATTTATTGTCTGGAATTTATATCTGACATAATAACTCTCTGGGCTAATTTTTATTTGGATTATTAAATTGTTATATGAATCAGGTTTTATTTAAATGACATGTAGGCTTTAAATAGGTTTATTTAAAGGCTACAATGTGTAGGTCTTGAAACCTACTCAAAGTCTGTATTTTTTAGGGAGAATTTCATCTAAGGACTATGGAATTTCATCTATATTTTCAAATTAGGCCCAAAATATTCTGAAATTTCACTACAAGATGTTCGACCTGAATTGAAATAAAATTATAAAATAAAGTGACCAAAATATCCTTCTTTAGTATGTGGCAGCATAGCAAGTAACACAATGGAATTAACAAGTAAACAATAGAAGTCAATGTGGCGATTTAAATCCGTAACTTATTAAATTGTTATCATAACTTGTAAAATCAGCTATATTACTTGTCAAAAGGTTTTTTTTACTTGTTGAGTTCCTTGAGTTTCTTGTTACGTGAAGTACATTGCAACTAACATGACTACTAATCCTTTAGAAGACTTGTTAATTCATTAACTTTACTTGTTAATTCCCTTACATTACTTGCTAACTCTATGACTTTACTTTTGAAGTCCATATGGCAAGTTAAATCTATTACTTGTTAAGCAGTTAGCATGACTTGTAAAATGAATTACATTACTTGTTAAAAGCTTTTCTTGTTAATTTACTTATGTTACTTGTTTTGTTGCCTCATATTGGAATAAGGATAATTTAGTCATTTTGTTTTACAATTTTATTTCAATTCAGACCCAACATCTTGCAGTGGAATTTCAGATTGTGGGCCTGCTTAGAAAATATGTCACATGCAAGGTCCTTAGATGATATTCTCCCTATTTTATTATTAATTTTTGTTTTTATGTTGGCTTTGGTGGGTTCAAAGCCTACCTAAGGCCTTCAAGGCCTAATCCCTTAAGCCTATTAAAAGGTGTATATTTTAAGTAGGCCTTTAAAAAGGCTAGGCCAGGTCTTTTGTAGGGTTAGACTTGAGCCTAAAAGAAAGCCTTACACAAGCTCCAGCTCAAGCTTTAGGCCCCTATTACATGCTCAAGCTTGTTTGGCCAAACCTTAGATTGTTCTTTTCTCTAATTGGCTTACTAAGGCATCTTTGTTAAATTACTTAGAACAAAAATTAAAAGGGTGTGATAATAGCTATGCATATTTCAAATGTTTCAGTGGTGATAGACTCCTACAGAGTGTAATATAGGTCTGTCTGTGCTATATGTCCAGACCAACTAGTTAGATATGATTATGTTGGAGACAGATGATCATGCTCTGATTGTATTCTTATCTTTTATTGTTCTTTAATTATTTATATCTCATATTGGCCATGGTTGCTCGATTGTTCTCAATTGTGCATGTCTGTTTGCTTATTTAAGTATATGTACCTAAAATGCAGTGAGAAATGTTGCAGCCTTAGCTTTCTCCTTTTTTTTTTTTAATAATTATCTCTTTAATTTTCTTCATTACCTACCAAGCTCAAACGGTTGTTAATTGGAGCTCCTTTGTCTTTCACTCTACAGGGTTGGCCATGCTCACTGTGTCAAATTTTTACCCATCTCTGGTTAAACTAAAGCCTTCCTCACTTTCTCCCCCACCTGGTGGTCAATGCCATTTGCATTTCTCTATACCTCCCTCCCTCGATTTTAACCATCGGAGCTTTTCCTTGCGCCAATCACTTCGTATTCGATCTATTGATGCCGCTCAGCTCTATGACTATGAATCAAAACTCGCCAATGAATTTCAGAATGCCCAGAAGCTCAAGATTGCCATTATCGGTTTTGGCAACTTTGGTCAGTTCCTTGCTAAGACCCTCACAAGCCAAGGACACAATGTCTTAGCTCATTCTCGCTCTGATTACACTGACATTGCTCGTAAACTTGGTGTCTCATTCTTCCCTGATCCTGATGACCTCTGTGAAGAACACCCTGAGATTATTTTGCTGTGTACATCAATAATTTCCATTGAGCAAGTGGTGTTGTCTCTTCCGTTGCAGAGATTGAAGCGAAGTACATTGGTTGTGGATGTGCTTTCAGTGAAGGAGTTCCCCAAGAATGTGCTTCTGGAAGCCTTGCCATGTGATTTTGACATTATTTGCACACATCCTATGTTTGGACCTGAGAGTGCCAGGCATGGATGGAGTGGTCTTCCTTTTATGTATGATAAAGTACGAATTGGGGATGAAGATTCAAGAATTGCTCGTTGCGAGAAGTTCCTTAATATTTTTGCAAGAGAAGGGTGTAGGATGGTTGAGATGACTTGTGCTGATCATGATAGATATGCTGCAGAATCACAATTCATCACACATACTGTGGGGAGGGTTTTGGAAATGTTAATGTTGGAGTCAACTCCAATAAATACAAAGGGGTATGAGAGTTTGTTAGAATTAGTAGAGAACACATCAGGAGATAGTTTTGATTTGTATTATGGGCTCTTTATGTTCAACAAGAATTCTTTGGAAATGTTAGAGAGGTTGGATTTGGCTTTTGATGCTTTGAGGAAGCAACTGATCGGGCGTTTGCATGATGTTGTGAGAAGACAGTTATTTGAGAATGCTGGAAAGATGCAAAATGGTAACCACGCAGTGTTCAATAATGATGACAATGCATCCTCCAAAGATACAAGGTAACTTCAAATCTTGCTGCAAGTCTTGTGATATTTTTTTCTTGGTTTACTATATATGTTGAAAGCAACTTTAATTTATAGGCTTTTTTTGCTGATTTACTTTGAATCGGCTTAGTGTTCTTGTGATTAGAATCAGGATAAAGCTATATATAGTTATGCTAAATTGTTAAAGCTAGTATCAAATTGAGTAAGCGAGATGTCTGCTGTTGTTATTTACATGAATCAGAACATTCAATGCACCACAAAACAAACAGTGGTAAATAGCTTTTGCAGGGAAGATTTTAAGTGCCTCCCTTCTATTTTTCCTTTTTGAGGTTGGGGGATGGTGTTATTAGTCTCTTTGACGAGGTCTAATCTAGCATAACATATAATGTTGTTACCCTGCAGAATCCATGATTTTGCTCAAATGTACAACTTCAAGTCAAATAATTCCTTCCAGCTTGATGAGAACTCAAAGCTTAAGATTGCAGTAATTGGATTTGGCAACTTCGGTCAGTTTCTTGCAAAAACTATGGTACGCCAAGGCCATGAAGTGTTAGCATACTCTCGAACAAACTACTCTGATGTGGCCCAGGAACTAGGGGTCTCTTATTTCAATGATGCAGATGATCTATGTGAGCAGCATCCAGAAGTGATATTGATTTGCACTTCCATTCTATCAACAGAAAAAGTTCTCAAGTCTTTGCCTGTGCAGAGACTAAAGAGAAGTACCTTGTTTGTTGATGTACTTTCAGTCAAAGAATTTCCTAGAAACTTGTTTCTTCAACACTTGCCACCTTATTTTGATATTCTCTGCACTCATCCTATGTTTGGGCCTGAGAGTGGGAAAAATGGGTGGAAAGGTCTTCCCTTTGTTTTTGATAGAGTCAGGGTTGGAAAAGATGAATCTAGGATGTCTCGATCTGATCGGTTTCTTGACATCTTTGCAAATGAAGGGTGTCGAATGGTTGACATGTCATGTGCTGAGCATGATTGGCATGCAGCTGGATCACAGTTTATCACACACACTATGGGGAGGATTTTGGAAAGGTTGGGTTTGGAAGCAACACCCATCAACATAAAGGCTATGAGACTTTGTTGAGTTTGGTAGAGAACACTGCCGGAGATAGTTTTGATCTGTACTATGGCTTGTTCATGTACAATGTAAATGCAATGGAACAACTACAGAGACTGGACCTAGCTTTTGAATCATTGAAGAAGCAGCTTTTTGGCCGTTTACACGGCGTCTACCGCAAGCAATTATTTGAAAAAGATGAAATATATGCTTTACCGAAGAGGCCCTTGTTGCCAGAGATGTCTGAAGATAGCAATGAGGCATCATCCTTCTCAGAAACTGCGGACATTAATGAAAATGATTTTCAAGTTGCCATCTTTTGTGGTGGTTGCTCGCTTGAGGCATGGTCTGCTTCGTGGGCACGCGGGCACATGTAACAATATCTCTTCGCTGAAAATACCAGTAGGATGATGTTATTATGTAATGCTTTATTCTAGGTGCGTTATTCCGCTATAAATTCTATTTAGTGGATCTGTGAAGCTTTCTCTCGACTTGCGGAGAAGCTGGAGATCACTAGTCTGATTATTGAGAGCGACTCTGCAGCTGCCATCCAGCTATTGCAAGAGTTGCTGTACACAAGAGAATCTGCTAGAGGACAACGTGGCATACACTTCGCATGTTTAGAGAAGGCAATATGTAGGTTCGATAAGCATAGTTTTTTGCTAGGATGAGAGATTGTGTTGAACCTCTTAGGGAACTGGTCACCTGATTTGTATGGAGACACTATGGGGTTTCGAGTTGCGACTAATTATTCTATTATTATCAAAATGAATTGTTGTTGGGTTTTGCCCTGATTTTCACAAAATTGTAATACTAATTCATCCCACGCCAAGTGTTTGTACAACTTTCTTTTAGCTGAACGTGTGCGCATTAAATTGGGTTTCCTGTAAAAATGTCTTCTCAGTTTAATTTTTTTAACGAAACGCGGTTTCTGAATTTGAGTTATCATGAATTTGCCTTCATACTCAGCTTTTTCAACGAATGGCCAATGATCATTTATACTTGTCCATTTTTTTAACCAGGTCCTGTCACACTTTAAACTTGTTCAAACACCATGGATGCTTGTTAATTTAACATGGTTGCTTGTCAAAAATTAGTAATCATTTGTTGATACATCTACTGATGCACATAAACATATAATGAATTTTGCAAGTGTATGGGTCATAAAAATAATACGTGATGAATCAAGGTCGATTTGCAAAAAATCAAGTTAATTAATAATTAGACAATAAATTTTTCATTTTCATTTAAGTTAAGAAAAAAAATTTGGAATTTAATATTGCAAAATAAGAAATTAAAATTATATAAATGTGTTAAAATTAAAAATTCCAACAACTACAAATAGTCAATGCAATCTAAGATAGTTAATCCCTTCTTCAATTTATAGAGCATATAATTACCCAAATAAATTTACTTAATATTAATTTGCTAATCTAGAGTATTAATATGAATAATTATCTTTTGATTAATTACACCTCTCTCTTGAATTAATATGTTATTCCTAACATAATTACTCAAAAGGCAAAAATGTATAAATCCAGTCTAGTGTGATTATATGGGTCCAATGGTATACTTCTATTCTATTGGTAAATTAGAATAAATTTAATTCCACATTGCTCAATCTAATAGTCAAATTCAAATTTTCCTCCACCGAGGCAAAACTAAACCCCCAAATTCACACTCAATGGTGATCAAGCATTAAGTAGACAAATAAATACAAAATTAAGTAAACAAAACTAATATTAAGTTCAAATAAATGGTTCAAACATGCTCTAATTTAAGAATCAATTCATAGCTACCCTAGATTAAGAGAAAAACAGAAATATATATAGCAAAGTAAAGAGAAAAAGCAAAGAAAAGCTTAATTGGAGCAATTTTAATCTAAACCCTTGATTTTTTACTAAACCCAAGCTTCTCCAACCCTTTTTGGCTCTTTTCCTCTTCCTGAATGTTGAATGCATAAAAATGAGGTGCCCAAACTCTAAAAATTCGCTGAGAGTCAAAACTGTGCGTTTTATTAAAATCGTGTTTCACTACAGTAAATATAACCTGTTTAGATTTTCTTTTTAGATTTAATTTCTTGACTTGGACTCTAAAATTTTCTTCTTTGGGCCCCTAAATTGGGTCTATCTGCATGCATAAAACCCAGAATAAATAATAGAATTGATCCACTAATTTTTAACATATTTTTAAGCTTATTTTCACACACATTCATCCACTTAATTATATTTTTGCTAACAAAATTTAAATAAATGACTTCAATTACATTAAAAACACTAATAAATTTAATAAAAAATTATAAGTCATCATCTACACTTGTCCATTTTTTAATTCCGCCGCGTCACTTTAAACTTGTTGAAACAATTGAGTGCTTGTTAATTTAAAATGATTGCTTGCCAATTCATATGCCTCTTTTTTTTTTTTTTTGGGGGGGGGGGGGGGGGGAGAAGAGACCCAGTCTTTTAGTGTGATTGTCAATCTCGATCCTTCATTGTGATTCCAAAATTCAATTCAAGATAAATCACAAAGAGTTGAGCCCCAAAGTAATTTTTGTATTTAAATATTTCTTGTGGGTCTGTAATCTCTTGAACCATCTAAAGAGTGAGAAATTCTCATGGAATAGTGCTGGTGAGAATTACATACATACATACATACATACATATATATATATATATATATGTATTATGTAAATTTTACAATGAATCATATCCTTTTTAAAAGTACGTGAAAATATAAATGTAGTGCCATTTTATTTTTTATTTTTTGAAAAAATATCTTTTTTAACCAAATTGAAAAAAAAATCCTAAGCCTAATAGTTCTTGCAAATTTGTACAAATAATATTAATTTTATTTTCTTAAGCTGAAATAAAAATTGTATTTGTTTTGATACATAAATAAAATTTATAATCAAATTAACTGAGAATAACTTTTTAAAAAGTCAAGTTAAACAAAAATCGATCGCATCTTTTTGTTCTTAGACAGCAGAAAATATTTACCGTAGATCTTTTTCAACTAAATTACGTATATAAGAACTAAACTTCAAACCTCAAACTATTTGGTTAAGTGGTGAAAACATTTAGCAATCACGCTAACTTTAATTAATAATTCTTCATATGATTTAAAAATGAAAAAAAAAAGGATTCTTATATGATTAAATAAAATTCGTCGAAAGTCTATTTAATTTTATGCTATTCATGTTTGGGTAAAAATTACTATTCTTATTATTCTATCTTAATTTTTTTTAAAGTAAAGAAAAAAATATATCTGAATGCCTTACAGTTTACTCCTTAAAATTTATTTTGCTTTAATTGAGCCATTATAATTTGATCAATAAAATTTTTAATGCCTGAAAGTTAAATCCTTAAATTTTTTCTTTGATAAAAATCAAGAACCTCTATATTTTTATTAAATGATTATATAACTTTCGAATTAATTACATACTTTTTATAACTCAAAATTTATATAATTATATTCTCTTCTAAATATTTTTAATACATGTAGACTTTTTATAAAAAGAATTAATAAAAAAGTAAACAATGTATTAAATAAATTTTTTATTATGGTTAAAAGTATTAAATTAAATTTTGTGTAAATTCCAAGAGTATTTTTTGTTTTGTGAGATTTAATAATTCATTATTAATTTTGATCTTAAGGGGTTCACACACACATAAAAAATCAAATTGTAAGGATTTGATTAAAATAAATAAACTACAAGGATCTGATTTAAAATTGAAAAATTATAAGGATATGTAGATTAATTTTTCCAAAATTAAATTGTGAAATTAACACAAATATCATATGTAGTTGCACGTAAATATTACATGCCGATAGATAATTTCATTTAATGTACCAATGGATGTTAGGTTTAGCAGAAGAGACTAGTTCTTACAATTTAGTGAACAAATGTTTGAATTTTTGATGGGACAACTGCCCCACATTAGTGTCAAACTATACCTCAAATAAGATTGTCTTATCTAACTAAGAGGAGACGTGAACAATTTAAAAATAATTCTATTTAATGTAAAAAAAATTTATGCAATTAAATCCAACTGGAAAAAAAAAAGATACTAAATAATTGGTACTTACATTTGAAATGTATACGCAATTTATCTAAATTAACAGAACAAGCTAACATTGAAGATATTATACCAAATACATATGAGAAGAATTTAGGGAATTACTTAATTAGTCAAACAAGTTCACTGGAAGGAAATTAAATATTACTTTAGCAAAACAATGACCCTAACGGATAGTGAAAAAAATGCCTCATAAACGAAACGGCTTGTAATTTTTTTATTTTTATTTTTTGAGAAAGGTAAAAATTTAAAATTTTGGAGAAAGATGACGTAAGAATTCTCAAAACTAAAGAAACAAAAAGAAAAAAAAAAAATTATGGAACAATAGCCGACTACAACTAGTATAAATTGCCGACTCAAAGTTGAAACGGCCAGTAAAAATTGAAAGTTTTAAAGGAAGGGAGAAGTAGTAAGTGTCTGTAGCCGTTACATCATCTATGGTTTCGATGAATCCTCAAGGGTGGTCCTCACTTGCATCCTTGCTGCTACGGGTGGTTTAATATTTGGCTATGATCATGGTGTTTTGGTAAATGATCCAATCCCTTCTATCTATTTTCTACTTTAATTTTACTCACTTCACTTGGATGGTTGTTAATTTTGCTCATCAATTTATTGAAATGAAACTCTAATGAATTTTGAATCTTTGTTTTAAGGCGTCATCTGTTTGATGTCTGAATGAACTGCATTTCCCTAAAGTCTTTTATTAATTCTTCATATAATCGTAGAAGATATGTGGTTATCTGAATTTTGGTGTGTCGCCAGAGGAATGGCGTCCTTTTGTTTTTTGTTGGTGGAGTTATGTCTATGGATTCTTTTCTCGAGAAATTCTTGCCATCTGTATACTCACGAGAGGCAAATTCAATAGTCAGATCCTGATACTGTTAACATCTTCTCTGAAACTAGCAGCTATAATTTCTGGTCATGGAGCATCCACGATCATACGAAAGCTTGGAAGGAGACTATGATGATCGGTGGTTTCTGCCCTCAAAACTTAAAAAACTTAATTTCCAATAGCGCAAAGAGAGAGGAGTTGTGGAATCTTTTGATCGGAATATTGATTGACGAGGCGGTGATGAGCAGAGACTTTAATGGAGGAGATTCACGAGCGACGTTGCTGGTAACCTTTACGACACGTATCTTTTTGTCTAAAGACAAGTAGTGTAAACAACGTTGAAAATTCGTTTCACAATAACACATTGTTGAGTCTTGATCACCATAAATAGAGTAAACCACATCGTAAATATGCGCTCATTAAAGTCTGATATTCTCATTGTTTGAGCTTTTGTTTGTCTATATTACTCTAAAACTAGTAGCCCGTTATCATCGGAAATATTTTTGGGCGTGTGAGATGAAGACGATATTTGGCGGTCGGGCTGCTCTGCCAAAATGGTCGGCGGCACTTTGTGGTTGTGGACAGAACCCGAGAACATGCAAGGTCTTGATGATACTTTCCTATGTGTAAAAATGAATATTATGATGCATATATGCTGAATAATGAATGGAATTATGACAAGAGAATGAATAATAACGAAGCAGTTAAATCAAGCTTTTAATCTTAAGTTTAGGAGTTTTGTGGTAATTGAAAATTTTTGGTAAGGGTTTGGACGAACACTAAGTATAATTTGGATTTTGAGATAATGTGGGACATTGGTTAGTGAAGTTGATGTGTTGAAATGTTTAATAGGATGGTTAGAGTGTGTGGGAATGGTTGGTATTATTAGAAAAGGAATTTGAGTAGTTTAAGCATTTA